TTGTGGACACTGTAAACTCTCTCAAAATTTCCTTCCAAATTCCTTCTTGCATGCCTTACTACATGCCAGGGGCTGGAAATCTAAAGTTCAAATGTCCTAGATTGCCTTACAGCTCAAGTTCCACACATGACCTAGTTTCCATCAGGCTGATATACCTTCTCAGTATTATGAAAGCAGAAGAGATGACTGTATCTGTGCTCTTTTTTTCTAGTAAGCTTGGTTTTGAAGGTATTTGATTATTCTGCAGCAAGTTACTGTGATCCCAGTATCAAGTTTTTGATACTAAAAAGCAGAGTGTGGGACCTCAATTTCCTGGCATGGACAGGGCTAAAGAAATGCGGTCCTTGAGCCAAAAGCTATGGATGTCGTCTTCCCAGTTTCCTGATCCTCTGTGTTGTTCTGAGGGTCATTTCAAGTCCGTGTGGGGTGCTGAGGACAGCAGACATAGTCTGAGATACACTCAGGGTGAGGAGATTCTAAGGGGGACCCCCTACATAAATTTGGGTTATAATCTCAATCTAAATGTGTTGCTCAGAGGAAGACCGAAGGAAACTTGCTAATGTCAACTGTGGTACTCAGTAAAAGGAAAGGGAAAAAATCTTCCCCTCAGGGCACAGAACAATTTCTTAAACAAAAAGTACAAAATATGAAGGAGATGACAAAAAGTAAACTATAGTACATGATGAATTCCTGTTCCTTTAAAAATTCCACAAAGAGTACAATATAAGTTACACAAACTGGCCAAAGATATTTGCAATAGAAAAACCAATAAAGGATTACTATTTAGAACACATAAAGAAAAACTAAAAAAAAAAAGAAAGGAAAAGTACCTACTAAAAAACAGGTAAGAAAAAAAAGCCATTTGACAGAAAACACCAAGAGCCTGAGAGATGAGATGTGGAATGCTAGTGACAGCGACAATGGGGGTGATAAACAATGCTCAAGAACTGCTCCTAGCATTGTCAGCAGAAACAGTTCAGGGCTGCCCAGCAAAGGCTGAGCGTGCACATGTCTTAGGAGGCTGCTGCCTTTACTCTCAGAAATTCACTCCTGCCCATGAGTGCCAAGGTATGTACAAGAGAGCTCATAATAGCACTGTTTGTAAGAGCTATTAGACTGTAAGGCTCCAATGTCTGTCAAAGCAGGAATGCATTATACGCTGTGAAGTATTAATGCGCCATAACACTACACCAAAGTAAGAACTGGTGGGAACTGTACTAAACATGGCGATTTCAGTGAAAGCAACAATTCCTGGAAAAGGACCCACTTACAGTGTGATTTCATTTACAGAAATTAAAACAACACAACACTTTCAGAAACAAACTTATTTTATACACATGACTTTTTAACTGTATAGTTTAATAGGCAATAAAGTTAAGAGGTGATAAATTAAGCATTCTTTCAGCATAGTATCTGATAAAATTATGTTTAAGTTTAGTATTTTTAGTTTCCTTTAATTAAAACAGATCTTTTGCGGGGTGCCTGAGTGGCTCAGTGGGTTAAGCCTCTGCCTTCGGCTCAGGTCATGATCCCAGGATCCTGGGATCGAGTCCTGCATCGGGCTCTCTGCTCAGCAGGGAGCCTGCTTCCCTTCCTCTCTCTCTCTGCCTACTTGTGGTCTCTCTCTGTCAAATAAATAAACAAATTCTTTAAGAAAAAACCCCCAGATCTTTTGTTCATCATTAATAATTTTTATGAAATGCTTCCATGTGTAAAATGTAAAGCGTTTTTATAGTTAAAGAAAGACTGAAAGAGAAGCAAATACCAATATATCCACTACTCAGTTTAACTAATATACAACCACCACTTTAGAAGCCCCCTCAGGATCCTTGATTACAGAAATTCTCCCAGACTTAACAATGATACTAATTCTGAAGATTAGCTTTTAAGAGGATTTTATATATGTATGTCTTATTTTACATGCATATATTTTAATATTTTATGGAAATACAAACATTGAATATAGATTTCTATAAATATATATTTAACACATTGTTTTATATATTTTTATCCTATAAGGCAGTTTCAATAGCTATATATATGTGTCTATATATGTGTGTATATATACATAAATATATATAATAATAAATAATATAATAAATATAATAAATAGTATAATAATATTATTATATAACAATATAATGTAATATATAATTATTATATTAACAAATAAAAATTAATAAACAATAAATAAAATGTATATATATGTATACATATACATTTTATTTTAAATATGAAGCTACGGCAACAAAAATGCAGTTCAGTGGTTACCTGGGTCTGGGCATGGGTGCAGGGCAAATGGGCCTAACGTAACTTTTTGGAGTGATGGAAGATTTTGAAACTATATTATAGTGACAGTTGCTCAACTCAAATATTTGCTAAAAGTCATGTAACCATATTCTTGCAATGGATGAATTTTATGGCTTATAAATTATACTTACAAAGTTATGTGTGTGTGTGTGTGTGTGTGTGTGTGCGTGCGCGTGCGTGTGTGTTACTGTTCTGGTTCCTCTGAAGCCTTCCATAACTAGCCCAGGGGCAGTTGGTTCACCTCCCTTTGTCACTGGATTTATCAAATCAGGATATACTGCTTGGCCTGTCATCATCTAGGTTTAAAGCCCCTAAAAAAATAAAACAAAATTAAAAAATAAAAAATAAAAATAAAATAAAGCTCCTGGAGAAGTAGAATGCTTTTTTGTATTCTGCATCCCTTTTTGTACAACCCATGCCAATACTAAAGTAGCACTTACCGTTTTCTTGCTCATTAAATAACTATTAAATGAATTAATAACTGGGAGTTCTGCACTTAAATAAAAGTATCAGCCACTCTACTGAGAAGGTGTGAAATTACACGCTGCCCTGAGGGAGGAACAAAAGGAGCAAAGAGACAGTGGAGTTTAGAGTACCTGCTCTGGACCTTCCGTGTCAGGTCCAACTCTAGCTGCATTGCTCAGGAAAAGTACGATCTGGAGCAAATAATTTAAATGTCTGTACCTCAGTTTCCTTATCTATGAAGTAGAGATTATCTTCCTCAAGACAATCTATTCTTACCGCATACGGAATAATATAAAACATTTAGAACAATGCCTAACCAACAAACACATAAGAAGGTACTTGACATCATTAATCAGTAGGGAAATGCAAATTAAAACTGTAATGATATACCAGTATACATCTATCAGAACAGCTAAAATTACAAAGTCTGAAAAAGGGCTGAAAGATGTAGAACAACTGAAATTTACATTCACTCTGGAAAACTGGTAGCAGCTTCTAAAAACATTAAAATACACCTGCTCTGATGGCCAGGAAGGAATACTGACCAGTGAAGTTTAGGAAGATGCAGGTTGGAACATGAATGAAGGTGACTGTGACTGCCTTCCCAACAGAACCCCGGAAAGCTCCCTAATTTAGATTCTGCGTGACAGAAAAAGGCAGGCATGAGAAGGTCTCATTATTGCCTTTTAGGATTGCAGTTGAGACGAGCATGCTTATAAAGTGAATTAATATTTTAAAGCATTTAGAAACAATGCCTGACATAGCAATGTTATACCAGTAGACAGAGTTAAAAAAAAATACCTACTTTGTGGGCCCTCAGAAAAAATAATACGGAAACACGGAAAATCTTTTATAAGAATATTGAAAGTAGTTTTATTCATAACCCAAAACTAGAAATTCAGATATCTAACAAGAAAAAAAATTGATAAATTATATATCCATAAATGATAAATGGCATTCTACTCAGTAAAAACAAAAACAACAGAAACACAAAAAACTACAAATACAAAACATAAATGAATCTCTAAAACATTTGCTAACCAAAATAAGTCAGGTACAAATGACATGCTTCCTGTTTCCATGTGAATGAAGGTGAAGAACAGGCAAAACTAGTGTACAGTGAGAGACATCAGTATAGTGATTGTCCTATGAGAGGGAGAGGAGGCAACTGGCTGGAAAAGGGCAAGACAACCTTCTGGAGTGATGGGAATTTATATATTGATCTGATTCACAGCAGAAAGGAGTGAAAAATTTATCAAATTGTATACTTTTTTTTTACTCTGTGTAAATAATACCCAACAAATTACTCTTAGCATAAGTTTTCCCCCTCATTAAAATGTTTTGTCCATTTTTAAGAAGTATCTGATATGTAGTAAGTATGCAAACAAAATTAGCTACTATTATCCATTCTAGTTGGCTACTTTGTTAGAGTGGTGAGGAAATACTCATGATTACATATGGTTGAGGCGAAAAACAAAACAAAACAAAAAGCCCACAAACTAACAAGAACCAAAACCTGAGTGTCTCTCAAAGAAGGGGAAACAAACAATGACAACTGATTATAGTCACTGTATTGAAAGAACTCCCTACCGTCTATGAATTACTGTCGAGTTGTACTTCTTTCATACTGCCTCTTCCCTAATGCTCTTAGAGCAGTTGAGGGATTTTATTTTTATTGTTTAAAAGCCACTTATTTTCACCAGGATGTCTAATAAAGAGCTTTTAAATATTACTTAGATTTTCCTATTGACTTTCAAATTACACATGAAGTTGCTCTTCTAGGTCCATATTGAATACTAACTATACACACAAACACACATACACACATACATATATAGACATATATCTCTATACATGCACACAAATATATATGTATTTATAAATATATATATAAAATAGGTTTTCCATTTCTTACTAGGATCTTGAACTTAATTGTGACTAAAGCTCATTCATGGTGGGGATACGAAAAACACTAACCATTATCTTCAACTTACATCTATGATACTGCACTTTGAGGGCTGTTCATGTCAGCAGCTAAATGTACAGTTAATTTTAGCCATGGAAAATGAGATGGCTTGTGAATACCACTTTGAAATGTTTTCATCGGTAAAGCAAAATAAAGTAAAAGAACCTAAGACAAGTGTTAAAGGGATAGGTGTGCACCTGTGGGTGTGCCCACAGCATTCAGATACTAGCAAAGTGAAGACTGAGTTCACAGTACTTACCTTAAGAACTTGATTCTCAAGATAATTCATCAAACAACCAGAATTTGCTATACATTTTCTACATTTCCAACAACGAAGAATACTTATGTCTTCTTGATTATGATTTTGAGTTATCAATTCTTTGCTTCTTTTCATCTGTGGAAAAATTAACACATTTTTAAAAGTTGAACTGTGTCAGATTAAATGTGATTTTCTAAACTCTTACCACAACATTAGTTACACATGGATCAGAAGAAAGAGAATTATCATTTAATGAGGTACCTACTAGTAACCAGGTCTTAGCTTAGCAGGACTCTATAAACTATGTCCTGGATTGAAAATTCCATTTAATTATGATGATGATGCATTTTGTTAGTGATTACCAGCTTATTTTACTTTTGCAGAATATTTTGTGTCTGTTTATTTCCATCTTTCTCTCACTAAAAGTCATAAAAGGCAACTGTTGAAGGGTCACTTAAATAAGTTAATGCAGTGGTTTTAAATGAGTCCTACCAAAGAACTACAAATATTCTTCTAAATAGGAAGTTTTAAATACCCACAACATTAAATTTGAAATACAATAGAATTTATTGAGTTGCAGTTAGTTATGTGAAAATGGGAAGTACTTACTTTAAATTCATGGCAAAAATTCCTTAACCTGAATGCAGTAATTTCTCTTCTATATTGTACTCAGTGAAACACAAAGACTTATAGAAGAGCCCTACCAATTTTGTAGTCTATTTTTACACCTGACATTTTATGTAAATAATGGAAATTAGACCATTTGGGCAGAAGAGTTTCACACTAATAATGATCCCAAAATAGGTGGAGTATATTTATTAACTTGTCTGGTAACTATTTATTAGAAAGAAAGGAAATGTCTACTAAGCTATCCACAAGGAACTAACTTCCCTGGCCACATTTCCTCATTTGTTAGCTCCTTCATCTTTCATTCATTCATTCAACATTAACTGACAGCTAACCAAATGCCATACAGTGAGTCAAGCTCCAGGGGGCAAATGGCTGAGTAACACTTATTTTCTGTCTTAGAGGTACACACTGTGCTATAGCTCAACAGTTTTCTACCGGAGATCATTATAATCGCTGGGGAAGTTTTAAAAAATGATGCTTAGGCCCCACTCCTAGAAATTTTAACTTATTTGGAGATGGGGAGTGAGTTAGGAGTGGGCACTTTTAAAAAATTACCCCAGGTAATCCTGGATAACTTTTTAAAGTATAGTCAGGTTGAAGACAGATGTATTATACAAACTATTAACTAAATTGCAACAGCTGTAAGGACTATAGAACAGGGAAAACTGATGAACCCTAACCACATTTAAGGATTTAAGGAATCCTGTATAAGAGGGGACAGCATGCCCCTCTTGCAGCCCATCTAGGTCTGACCTTCAGGTAGCTAATTCCAGTTCTGTCTCCACAGATATCATCAGAGCTCATCTCATTTAAATTATGTCTTCAATAATCTCAAGAACATCTTAATTTGCAAATGTCTTATCTCCTCCTGCTTGATGTGCCTCTCTTCATTGTTGAAACCCTCTCTATTTGGCACTCCTTTCTCCTCTCTATATCCTTCTTAGTATCTTATGTCCCCATCTCCCTTTTAACCACAAATAGTTCTCAGCCAAGAGTAGGGACTCCAAGAAGAGGTCCTATCAGAATCAACAATGGAGGAGGTAGGCAAGATGGCGGAGGAGTAGCAGACTGAAATGATATCAGGTCACAGGAGTTCAGCTAGATAGTTATCAAACCATTCCAAACACCTACAAACTCAACAGGAGATCGAAGAGAAGAAGAGAGCAATTCTAGGAACAGAAAATCGACTACTTTCTCAAAGGTAGGACATGCAGAGAAGTGCTTCCGAAGTGATGGCAAGATAGACTATGGCAGGAGGGGCTGGCTCCCGGCAAGCAGGGAAGCAGCAGAACACAAAATCAGAATTTTCAGAAGTGTGCTCCACTGAAGGACATTGCTCGAGAGGCTAAGCGGGGGTGGAGCCCTCCCAGGGACAGTGCGGTCTCAGGTCCCGCAGGGTCACAGAAAGATTGGGGGTGTCTGAGTATGGCAGAGCTCCCAGGTATTGAAGCGGGGAAGCCGACTACAAAGACAGAGCCAAAGAGTGAGCTCTCAGCTCAGGGTTACCTTAAACCATGATCCGTGGCACAGTTGGACCACCTCTCTTTGAGCAGCGAACCCACAAGTGGCAGGTCTGGGGAGACTCACGTTCCTCTCCCAGGAGGAGCAGCATGGAGCAGGAATCGGCTGGGTTTGGAGACTCCAAAGGGGGCTGTGTGCCAGAGATAGAAATGCTCAGTCACAGGCCAGGTGAGCTTGGAGCGTGGTCAGATACCAGGGAGACAGGAGTGACTGACCTATTTTCTCTGAGGATGCACTGAGGAGTGGAGCACCAAGCTCTCAGCTCTTACTGCCATTTTCATTCCTGTCCTCCAGAGCTCTATGGAAAGCGTTCAGGGAACAAAAGCTCCTGAGAGTGAACCCTACCAGATCTCTTAGCCAGGTCCCTGGAAAGGGCGGTGCAATTCTGCCTTGGGCAAAGACATTCGAGAATCACTGTAACAGGCCCCTCCCCCAGAAGATTAGCAAGAACATCCAGCCAAGACCAAGTTCACCAATCAATGAGAACTGTGTAACTCCAGAGCTCAGGAAATCAACACATAGAATTCATGGCTTTTCCTCCATGATCATTTAGTCTTGTAAAGTTAAATTTTTTTTAAATTTTATGTTTCTTATTCTATTTTTAACTTCTCTTCTTTCCTCTTTAAATGTTTATAATTAGTTTATCTTAACAATACCTCTCTAAAAAAAATCTTTTTAAACCTTCATTATTATAGTCATATTCTATCCCTCATTGTATTTAACCTTATTTTTTGTATACATACATGTTTTTTATTTTCTAAAAAAACTTTGGGTACAATTTCTTCTAATAGATCAAAATACACCCTAAATCTAAATTTACACCTTAAATCTAGCACATGGCTTTGTTCTAGTCTCCAGCCTGAGCACATTCTCTCTCTTTTTTTCCTTTTCATTCTTTTTCCAACCAAATTATATTATCAATTTCTTTTTCAGAATTTTTTTAAATTTTCATCATTACAGTCACATTCTATCCCTTCATCATGTTCACCCTTATTTTTGTATATATATAAGTCTTTCTTTCTTTAAAATTTTGGGATATAGTTTTTTCTAAGAGACCAAAACCCACCCAAAATCAAGTGGGTGGCTCTGTTCTATTCACCAGTCCTATATATATATATACACACACACAAACACAAACACACACACACATACATATAAACATATATATAAATTTCTTTTTAAACCTTTTCTTTGCCCCTGGTTTGGGGGTCTCTTCTGATTTGGTTAGTGTACATTTTTCTGGGGTCTTTGGCACCTTTTAGTATTTTATTCTCTCATTCATATATTCTTATCTGGATAAAATGACACGGCAGAAAACTCACCACAAAAAACACAACAAGAGGTACTACTGACAGCTAGGGACCTAATCAAGACACTGGAATATGTCACAACTAGAGTTCAGAATGACAATTCTCAAGATGCTAGCTGGGCTTGAAAAAGGTATGGAAGGGGCGTCTGGGTGGCTCAGTGGGTTAAAGCCTCTGCCTTTGGCTCAGGTCATGATCCCAGGGTCTTGGGATCGAGCCCCGCATCAGGCTCTCTGCTCAGCGGGGAGCCTGCTTCCTCCTCTCTCTCTGCCTGGCTCTCTGCCTACTTGTGATTTCTGTCTGTCAAATAAATAAATAAAATCTTTAAAAAAAAAAAAAAGAAAAAAAAAAAAAAAGAAAAAGGTATGGAAGATACTAGTGTGGAGAAATAAAATTCCCTTCTGGAGAAATAAAAGAACTAAAATCTAACCAAGTTGAAATAAAAAAGCTATTAATGAGGTGCAATAAAAAATGAAGGCTCTTACTGCTAGGATAAATGAGGCAGAAGAGAGAATTAGTGATATAACAGACCAAATGATGGAGAATAAAGAAGCTGGGCAAAAGAGAGACAAACAACTACTGGACCATGAGGGGAGAATTCAAGGGATAAGTGATATCATAAGACGAAACAATATTAGAATAATTGGGATTCCAGAAGAAGAAAGAGAGAGGGGCAGAAGGTATATTGGAGCAAATTATAGTAAAGAATTTCCCTAATATGGCAAAGGGAACAAGCATCAAAATCCGGGAGGCACAGAGAAACCCCCACAAAATCAAAAATAGGTCCACACCCCGTTATCTAATACAAAAACTTACAAGTCTTAGTGACAAAGAGAAAATCCTGAAAGCAGCTCGGGACAAGAAGTCTGTAACATACAATGATGGAAATATAAGACTGGCAGCAGACTTGTCCACAGAGACCTAGCAGGCCAGAAAGAACTGGCATGATATATTCAGAGCAGTAAATGAGAAAAATATGCAGCCAAGAATACTATATCCAGCTAGGCTATCATTGAAAACAGACGGAGAGATGAAAAGCTTCCAGGACAAACAAAAACTAAAAGACTCTGCAAAGACCAAACCAGCCCTACAGGAAATATTGAAAGGGGTCCTCTAAGCAGAGAGAGAGCCTAAAAGTAGTACACTAGAAAGGAACAGAGACAATACAGAGTAACAGTCACCCTACAGGCAATACAATGGCACTAAATTAAAATCTTTCAATAGTTACCCTGAAGGTAAATGGGCTAAATGCCCCAATCAAAAGACACAGGGTATCAGAATGGATAAAAACATAAGACCAATCGATATGATGTCTACAGGAAAGACACCTCCAGATTTAAAATGAGGGGATGGAAAACAATTTACCATGCTAATTGACATCAAAAGAAAGCTGGTGTGGCAATCCTTATATCAGATAAATTATATTTTAAGCCAAAGACTATATAAGGGATGAGGAAGGACACTATATCATACTCAAAGGGTTTGTCCAACAAGAAGATCTAACAATTTCAAATATCTATGCCCCTAACATGGGAACAGCCAACTATATAAACCAATTAATAACAAAATCAAAGAAAGAAATCAACAATAATACAAAATAGTAGGGGACTTTAACAACTCCCTCACTGAAATGGACAGATCTAAGCAAAAAATCAACAAGGAAATAAAGGCCTTAAT